TGGTCAGATGGCACTACCCTTCAGGACCACCAGCTGGTTGGGTGGGCACTGGCTGCAGCCCCTCCCAGCCACACACCTAACCCCATTTCAGAGCTCCAGATTCCAATGCCACAGGAGATGTGGAGCCATCCTGTGGGACGGCACACTTGTGCCTTTAACAGCTGCGTGCCCGTGAAGTAGTTGGGCAGATACAGCATCTCCGTTTTAGTACTGTGGTGGCAGAAGCAGCAATACTGACTCAAATTCTCCTGCCTACACAACTATCACAACAAGAAGGATTCCTTTGCATCTGTGATGCCTTGCGGTATGCACTTTATGTTGGATATTGTAGCTCTGCATGCAAGAGGGTCTGGGAGGGAAAGGGTTAAGAGAGTTCTCCCACTCAGGAGGGAAGAAGAAGAAGAAGAGATTGGATTTATAACCTGCCCTTCACTACCCAAGGGAGTCTCAGAGCGGCTTACAAACTCCTTTCCCTTCCCCCTCCCCACAACAGACACCCTGTGAGGTAGGTGGGGCTGAGAGAGCTCTGACAGAAACTGCTCTTTTCAAGAACAGCTCTTATCAGAACTATGGCTTGGCCAAGGTCATCCAGCCAGGTGCAAGTGGAGGAGTGGGGAATCAAACCCGGTTCTCACAGATTAGAGTCTGCGCACTTAACCACTACACCAAACTGGAGACTTGGCAGTTGGCCCCAACCCTCCTCTCATCGGTTAGGCGTTGAGCCTTTTTAGCCCTTGCTGGCCTTCTGCTTTCATCTTCTATAGGACCTCTCTTCTTCTTCTCTCTCTTGCCTGGACTTGGAGCTGTAGCAAGCGAATCTTTTTGAAGTTAATCTGTTCTCAATAAATTAAATTAAATGGGCCTACACGAATACGTCACGTAAGATGTGCTTCTATTTTTGTAAGTAAAATTTCTTTCTCTTGTTACCATTGGAGTCAGGCCATCTTTGAAATTTGAACAGCATTTTCCCCAACTGAGAAACGTGGAGGATTGTGGATACTGCAAAAAGCTTCCATGCTTGCACGGCAAATTATTTTTTTTTAACATTTAACCCAATACTTTAAATGATACAGCAGCAGAATCAGGGTAGCAATCCCCCCCCAAAAAAAAACCCCTAACTATAGGTTTGATTTTCCACAACTTACCTTTCTGATCTGCCATCGCCCAGAGCTGATGGGCTGCCTTTGCAGACAATGCCATAGGGTACTCGACGAGGACATGTTTTCCAGCCTCCAGGAACATCCTTGCAGAAGAGAATGAGATCCATGTCACACTTATTCCTTGCTCTCTCTTTAAAAAAAAAAAAAAATGCTCCGAGCACTAAAGATGGGGGATCCCAAATAATTCTTAGTGGCTTTTCAAAACTACAGTTCCTAGCATTCTGTGCGGACAGTCGTTATAGAACACAATTTTCCAATTGGTTTACAATTCAGAATGCCTTGAACTGAAAGTAGGGAGTGGTTCTAGGCACTAAGGACCCTTTCACAATTGATATTCTACTGCTCAAGAAATACAGGCTCCTTAACAAACGGAGAAAGGCACGCCTCTGTATTTCTGCGTTTCTAAGTGAAATATACAGAAATGGTGATCAGAGAAAGATCTGCTTCCATGTTTCTGGAAGCTCAAAAAAGGGATAATTTAAATGTGCCATAACAATTTATGAGGGAGACATGCATTTTGCAGTTGGGTATCTCATTTTGTTCTGAGGGATTCAGATGTAGTGTTTCAGATTAAGATCTGGAAAACCCAGGTTCGAATCTCCACTCTGCCATGGAAGCTGGCTGGGTGATCTTGAGCCAGTCTCACACTCTCAGCCTAACCTACCTCACAAGATTGTTGTGAGGATAAAATGGGTGGGAGGAGAATGATGTAAGCCACTTTGGGTCCCCATAGGGAGAATGGAAAAGTATAATGAAGTGAATAAAATAAATATGAGATATCCTCTGGAATTTGGGATGTCAAATGAACATTCTGAAGATGTTCTGACACGGGGAAAACTAAAAGGTGAGATACCTGATGCTCTCCTCGTGGTTTTTGTTATCGGTGCTGATGACGGCAGCATGGACTTCCTGGTTGTCGAGAGCTTCTTGTAAACTAATTTGATTGGCTTGCTGAACATCGCTCAGTGGTCTCCTAGATTTAGCAAAAGCAAATATGAATCCACACGTGCACACCGTAAATTCTCGGTTCTGTAGAACAAGCATGCAAAGAAAGAAATGACAGGCTCTGGACCGAAGATCAGAGCTGACAGAGAAGAGCTGAGCATGCCTCCTCCCTCTCCACGCCTCCTCCCCCTGCTCTGAGGGAACTCTGTGTAAGTTTCGAACATCTTCGACTGGGAGCAAAGTTCTTACCATGCAAGCCCAACCTGCTTTTAAGGAGAATGAGAGAGCAGAAATTAGACTAGAACTCCAAAATCTGTTTTCCACCAGACTCCATCACACACATTCACAATATCCAAACTTCTGAAATCAGAATGTGTGTTTATTTTCAGCACAAGCGAATATTAGTTCTGGTGCAGCCACACTGAATGCCATGCCATGCAATATATGTGGTCACCACAGACAGAAGTGCCTTGCTGGCCATAAGATACAGCATGTGCCAACAGCTCACGTTAGATCTGACCAAAATACACCCTTCTCTGCTTTCTTTCTCTCAGCTGGTCTGGGCCAGGACCAAAGGAACTAAGAAATGAGGGGCAGCCCTGGGAAACACTTAGGGTAGTGGTAGGAGATACTGATTGGGGCCCTGAAACTGTCTTAAAGCCACAGTAGGGAAAATCAGACAGGAGCCTGTACCTTGTTAACCTCATGTGCAACTTTGGCCCTGATGCCATGCGCTGAAGGGACTTTAGGCTTGTTTTTCTCAAACAGCAGTGCAGTCCACCATATCACATGACAAACTGCTTTGGAAACGGAGTAGAAAATTGAAAGCAGTTTATAATGGCAGGGGAAGGTTTTAAAAAAAAAAGAGTATCAGGAATTCTATATGAATCCATTATAGGAACCTAAACATCTCTTTGGGTTGGATTCAACCAGCTTTTCTGCTGGTGAAAAAGGAAAGAGACATTGTCTTTGACCAACAAGTACAAAAGCCATGTGAGATGGTGGTTGTAGCAGGCAAGAGTATTGCGTGAGATTGTATAAAAGGTGGCTGGATCCAACCTAATGGATCCCAGCTTTTGCATATAAGCTTCATCCACTTGCCTCGGAAAGAACTGACTAACCAGTTCTACCACAAGCCATGCACAGATTCATTTCTTCTAGGAGAAGGTGAGGTACCGTTCGCTTCAAGGCATGCCAGTACCCTTAGGGCGAGGGTCACATGAATTTACACCAGGATGACATGGAGTCTGTAAATCCTGGTTGACATGTTTTCCGTAGGAAACAGGTGAAACAAATTTACAAGAGAAAGTTGTTTGGTGGATGCAGTAAGAAACTCAGGACCAAGAGACTACTTTCGCATTAATATTGCTTACTTTTCACTAGGTTGGCACAAAGTATCAAAGCCATACGGCTCCATGGCCCCGGCTTTCTCGCCCAGGCCACTTCATCAGCTAAAACCTTGGCTTCTAGGTGGAAGGGTGGTGGAAAACGCTGTCCAGTCACAGCGGACTTATGGCGACCCCAAAGGGTTTTCAAGGCAAGAGACTCTTGAAGGTGGCTTTGCCACTGCCTGCCTCTGCCTAGCAACCCTGGACTTCCCTGGTGGTTTCCCGTCCCGGTAGTGGCCAGGGGCAACCCTGCTTAGCCTCCGAGAACTGGCGAGATCCAGCTAGCTGGGGCTATCCACGTCAGGGTGTGTCCAACATGGCAAAGCATTAATAAAAGGTAAAGATTCCCTTGCTCGAAAGCCAGTCGAGTCCGACTCTAGGGTTGCAGTGCTCATCTCCGTTTCAAAACCGAAGAGCCAGCGCTGTCCGAAGACGTTTCCGTGGTCATGTGGCCGCGCGGACACACAGACGCTGTTACGCTGTTACCCTCCCACCGAAGTGGTACCTATTTATCTACTTGCAATGTCTCGCTTTCGAACTGCTAGGTTGGCAGGAGCTGGAACTAGAGACGGGAGCTCACTCCGTCATGCGGCACTCGGGTCTCGAAGCATTAATACTGGCACTTAAATCAGCCGGCTGAGCTAACGCTGGAATGCTCCCAACTAGAAGGTATTAAAAGGACTTGTTGCCCTTCTTATATAAAAGCCCATCTTACCTCGAGACGAAGCCCACGAGTTTCAGATGCTCTGCAGGGCTGGAAGACAAAGGATTCAGCAAGTCTCGGATCCGCACAGATCCAGCGATCCCCACCCCGACAACCACCGTGCCAAACATCGCCAAGCCTGTGTGCTGGGGGGGGGGGGGGGAGAAAAAGCAGAAATGTCAGGAGCATGACTCTTTTTTTTTTTGC